CTACACGACCTAAAGCATATTGAGACCTCTTCCATCCACTGCTCTTGAAGCTGACTAAAAGCTTATATAGTGAAAAAAAAATGCATTTTACTTCAATGCAGTATTTCCTTTAAAATTATAATTTAGCTAAATACTTGGTTTCCACAGAAGGGAAAACTAGAGTACGCTTGGGGCCTCTTGCTTCACATTACAGTACTTTCCACTGGTTTTCGTACAGAACAGAAATTACCAGGGCATTTGGGTTTACTTCCTTGTTGATGCACACACTGACTTTGGCTAGGTTGCAAAATTCCCTGCAATGTTTGCTTTTAAATGGTCCAGATGACAACACACCCCCCAGAGAGGCACAGTGGGAGAACGAGGGCTTGTTCGTTTTTGTTTCAAAACCTCGAGGCAGGCGATGTTAAGGAGGGTCATAAAAGCTTCACTCCTGCTGCTCTAAAAAGATTTGTGGGAATCGCTCGGTTTTAAAATGCGCTTACGACTCAGTTTTGCGCCCATGCCTCTCTAGGAGAGGCAGAATCCTTCCTTAGGTCATTACTATATTTGAAGGGTTTCTTACAGCTCAGAAAAGCTGCAGTGAGTCACACACATTTACCTCGTAATACATCCCACAATGAAACTAGGGGAGAGACATCTAGCTAGTAAACATTACCACTAAGGCACGTTTTGGCCCACTACTCTTTTGGAGATATAAGGTGAATGAAAAAAAAAAAAGAAGAAGAAGAAAAAAGAGTTACTTCTGCTTCTACAAGTACTATTTCATGCTGTTCTTACCACTGTCTTCTCCATTTAGCTAAACCCATTATAGAGCTGCCCCCCAATTGTAACAAAACCCACAAAACTAAGCAAAAAGCAGAGTAACACACACTGCAAGCTACTTCCAGAATGGTGTTTTTCAATATTGGGAATGCCACAAGCTCAGCCTACATGCATTGGCTTTTAAAGCAGTTTTGTAATAACATTACATAAGAATTATTTAACTACAGCAACAGATTTGGAAAAAAAAAAAAAAGAAAAAAAAAAGCAAGCTGCAGCAGTCACTGCTAAACTGGTTCACACATACAAAAATCAATAAAGGCAATGATAAATTTGGCAAACAGATACGTTCAACTGTCACAGAGAGTGGATTGGAATTTGAACACCCTCAAGAACAACATCATCATGGTGTATAGCTAGCAAGGCACCGCAATCCTGAAAAGAAAACAGAACAGAAGCATGACCGTTCTAATGACAACATAACCACATAACCAGCTAAAGCCTGAAAAAAAAAAAAAAGTTTCATTAAAAGCATCTATGGTAAATTGATTCATTCAACACGTTCAGTTTAGAAACATTTAACTTTTTTTTACCTGGTGTTCTGCATGAATGTTATCCCCAGTAGGCCAGCGATGTTTGCTGTTATTATAGCCGCCTCCACCACTTCCTCCTCCCCCAAGCTGCTCACCATGCTGCCTCTGAAAGAAGTAATCCACCATAGCGTCGTCCTGGGAGCGGCCTGCGACTCCTATGGATCCGGGAACAGGACTGGAGTGTGTCCCTGCTGCAAGGGCTTGATTTGCAGCTGGCTGTTGCTGAGCCTGGGACCCTGTTCCAGATGTCAGTACAACAGGCATGTTGGGATTAGCTGTATCTTGAGTGTGCTGCTTCAGGTGGGGGCTGAACGAGTCCTGCCAGAGCACTGCTTTTCTCTTCAAGACACATGCAACGCTCATTCCACCAACACCTGCAGGGGCAGGAGGAACAGACAGAGAGAAGCAGAGGGAGACAGAAAGGAAAGAAACTCACTGAGCTTCAATTTGAAATATTAAACAAGACACCCACCTTAAAACTAACAGAGAAACAGCGAGTGCCAAATCTGACATGCAGGATCCATGTCAGGTGCCTACTGCACTGGAAGCGGACCACCGTGCAGTGGAAATGCTCTAGGCTGGCCAAAACTCCAGAGCAGGGCCACAAAAACTGCTGGAATTACAACACTGGCACCCGCCACGTGTTCACAGCTGACGAGTTACAGAGTCCCCAAGCCCTCCACGTGAGGATGTGCTCATTCAGTAACACAAAATACAACCACTTTTGCAAATGTAAACTTGAAACCTTAGATTTCTACCATTAATCTGGTCTCAAATATCGCACACCCTGCCCTGCAAACTCAGGAGCTGTCTTTGGCTCCGAGATGAGGAGATATCTCCACGTTTTATATGGGATTCCCTGGAGAAAGACCAGCCAACCTCTTAGTGCCTGCGAGATCAGCAGAACCTTCCAGAGCCGGAGCAGCCAGCAGGGTCCGTTCAGCCACAGATGACACACGGGAAAAGCTCAACTAGTTATCAAAATCACCCAAATATCCCAAATTATTCACACATGGCCAGAATTATCTACACACAGGACAAGCAACAGATTAAGCTGACAGCAACTTATCAATTTACTACCCTCCAGGATATTTTGATAGCAGCCCAGTAAAAGTTTATTTGGTATAGTGCAACTACAATTCTGATGGCGAAAGCAATGAAAACATCACACATGTGAGCAGAGAAGTGCTTCTCCCTTGTTATGCAACACTCGCCCAGTGCAGAAAGCACATTGCAATGGAATTGGTATTTCAGAGCATGTTTTACAGCCTGAATTTCTTTATTTTTTAATTACCTATGTACAACCCATAAAATCACGGATCTCTTCAAGGATGAAACAAGGGGCAATTGGGCCCTTAGTGACTGCTACCACCTCTGCCTACGTGCAGAGAGGGCTTTTCCTGCTGCACCCTGCCTGCTCTAAACCTTGGCCCTGTTCCTGCAAGCCCCTCGGAAGGGCCTGAAAGGAGGCTCTGTCTCCCCCTCTGCTCCTTGTAGTGATTCTGAACAGAAGTGAAACACGACAGGCAACTTCCAAGAACAATTCGGTGACGGGGAGAAAAAGCTGACCAAAAAAAAAAAAAAAGCCCCAGGCCTTATCTATGATCTGAAATATTCAGACTTATCCCACTAATCGAGTCTAGCACTCCTATTTTAGAAGGAAAAGGGTTAAAAGCAGCGCAACAAAATGGTTTTCATTACATCTACAAGGGGCCTTGTCACCTCCCTCCTCACCTCCCTGGCCATGTAAACAAATAACTTTGCAAGGTGTTTTACACATTTAAATAAATGCACCATTTAAGATATTTCTACTCATTCAAATGTTACTGTCTTCCGGAAAGTCTGGAAATCCCTATCAGATTTCTCAGACACATATTTAAAGCATTATGATTGATATTACTAATCCATCACTCATTTTCTAAAAAACAATACACTGATTTACTGGTATTTTTCCTTTAGTGTTTTGGTAATAAACATAATAAAGTGTTTCACAACAGTGAAATGAACAACTAAAGCTCCCAGTGTCTCTTAAGAAATAAACAAAAAAATATGAAAATGATGGGATTACCAGTAAGAAATTCACATATTACCAAGCTTTTGGAGGCATGGGGGTGAATAGTCATAAACAGTTAAAATGAGAATGTAGGATTCTATGATTCTGATTCTGCAAAAATTTGCAAATATATATAATGAATAGCTCTAGAAACTTCAATGAAAACATCAAAACGCACAAATCTACATGTGCAAGTCTGAGCAGCACTAACAGCTACATAACTTTCCTTCCTCAAAACAGGGCAAAATGATTTCTCTTTTAACTGTCCATAGAGACTTAGTGCCCTCAAGGGGGATTAAAACATCTTTAACAAACAATCAATAACAGAATATAAACAAAAGTGGTGTTTTTCCTCAAAGACGGGAAAATTCAGCCTTTGAAAACAAGGATTTTGGAGGAACTTGCTTGTTTACAGACAGAGCCATTAGAAGGGAGGCATTTCGGGCCTTGTCCACTTATGCACGTGGATAAAACACTCAGAGCTTCAAATAAAGAAATAACTGAAGCTGTTGAGTTCCAGGCCGCAGCAAAGCAAGAGCGAAAACTATATGCATATCTATTTATATATTTTTTTCTTTTCTTTTTTGGGACTGGAGAAAATCTCAGCCAAGAGCTAGTAGAGGTACCAGCGAGAGCCGCACGACCGCGCTCCGAGACGCTTCCTCTTTCATGCAGCGTGGCCGAGGCAGCCCTAAAGGAGCCCAGAAAACTTGGCAAAGGAGACATTTTGAAAGGGAGCAAAGGGGAAACGAGAATTGTGGGTAGTTCACGCTTAGTTCCAGGCCGGGTTTTTATAGAAATGCCGTGTTAAATGTAGCAGGCAGCTGAATACTGTCATTCAAAGCACACCGAGCATCGGAAATATGTGCAGTCACCTACACAACACGCGTTCGTTAGGCATCCGGCAGCTGCAAACTGCACCACCCCAAACATCTAATGGCTCCGGAGAGGTTTTTTTTTACCCAACTCTTGCTAAAAAGCCGGAATAAACGGCTCAAATGGAAACGGTTCCCGAGAAGAGCCACACATGTACAAACAAAGGCTCCTATTTAGCTGAGCTGGGGGAACGAAGCCCGTTGGAAAACCAGGGTCTGGCCTTTCCCCTCCCGCCCCAACAAAAATAACAACACAAAAATAAGCAGCGTTACGGACACCTCCAAAACAGGCCTGACAGGGGGCTCCCCTCAACAACAAAACTTGAGGTGCCACTGAATCCGGGACACAGCTGGGGTTTTTTGTTTTGTTTTTTCTTTTTTGTTTTTTCCTTGGAGAAGTTAGGCTGGGAATTCGAGTGGCCTCCCCATTGTTCAGGCGCTGCGTGGCCTGCAAGAACTTTTCCCTTTTTTAAGGGGAAAAAGCTCATGTTTTCCCTGAAAAGCTGCCAGGAAGCAGGCAGAACCATCACCCAGCAAGGCGCCCGCTCATCGCCTCCTTGGGCCCCCCCAGCCCCAAACTCCTTCCTCGCCATCGGCTTCATAATAACAATAATAACATAAAAACAAAGCTTGGCTAAGGACAAAGTTATTAAATGTGGAAAAAAAAAAGAAGAAAGGAAAATAATTAAGAAATAAAATATTTCTCAGTTCAGGGCAAAACACGGGTGGCTTTTTTTAATTAAAAATGGTCAATTAGAGCTATTATGTGAAAGGAAAATAGGGAGAAAGGAGAAAAACAGCCCCCAGGTGCCTGCAGCCCACGCGGAGCCCCGCGTCCCCCTCCCCAAGGGCCCCCCGGGGCCCCCTCGCCGTTTGGGGGGGCCGAGGGGCGGGTGAAGGGAC